GATCCTGGGTGTGAGAGTGGAGGTAATGTAGCTTGTTTTAAGTGCTTTGAGAGGTAAGTAGAAAATTGATGCCAATAAGTGGGTCTATCCCTGCCCTTCCATCCGAAGACATGTGACTGTTCGTTTCAGTGTTTTTGAATTTGTAGAGTTCGTTAACGACTAACGAACGACTTCCAAACAAAGAAGCGTACCCAAGCCTCTCTGCCTCCAGCTCTCCACAGCTTTAAATCTTGTGTTCATTTTCACCAGTGTAATAGCTCAAAGTATGCAGTTGCTTTCTCCCTTCTTGTCTTTGATTCCTTCCGCTATAGTTATACTTACAGGATATAATATTTGCTCTTTTTGCACCGTGACATGTTTGCATGATTGCACATGAGCGCTTTAGAAACTTAGTTTGCACCAAATACAAAAGTGCAGAACTGCTTTAAATGTAAGATAAGATAAGATAAGATGAGATAAGATGAGATAAGATGAGATGAGATGAGATGAGATGAGATGAGATAAGATGAGATAAGATAAGATGAGATAAGATGAGATGAGATGAGATGAGATGAGATGAGATGAGATGAGATGAGATGAGATGAGATAAGATGAGATGAGATGAGATGAGATGAGATGAGATAAGTAGAACTTTTTTTATCCCGAGGGAATTTTATTGTCGTACACATGCTCAATGCAGCAGGAGAGACAGAGGAGCAGAGGAATAAGATATACAACATATACAATAAGAATAGTAATATACAGTAATACAAATATAATATCAAATAACTCTAACAAAGTAACAGTATAACTATATCCTGAAAAATAAATAACTTAACTATCAGTGCAGGTGATTCTTGACAGTATTGTGCAGCTGAATAAACGAGAGTAGCAGCGTGTGATGGGGAGATGAAACATTCGATGAAATACTGCTGGGTGATGTTGCAGGAGTGCTGGGAGTGGTGCACAACAACCCTGAAGAGGAGAGCTGTTAATTGTACTATTTGTTTCCCTTAAATGAAGCTGTGACTGATGGAGACAGTCTGTGAGCCAGTTCCAACTGTTGTTGCTCATCCGTCTTTATCTACTAAGTGTGCCAAAGAGTGTTTTAGACTTCAACCCATCAGCATTATTGAGTTGCTTTACTTTTTAAATAGATGTCTGCGATGAGAGAGAGAAATTCTAAATTACTGTACAGAAACGTTTTTAGGTGACACCCATGGAACATGACGATGTTTTCATAGGTTTCCATTAAATACCA